TCCAGGAGGAGACAGGAGTTGTATCTGTTGAGGAATAATTTTTCATGGATCTCTCATGATTCTGTACCTCTTATGAGCTGAGGTGCTGACAGCCTTTGTTCTAGACTTTTGTCCAGGATGTTTGTATAGCAAAGGGCCTTGGAAGATAGAGATGATATTTCCCTGCAGGTGAGAAGTCAGGTTCCTTTGTTGTCCATTATATTGAAGATAATGTCTCCTTTAGGGCAACGGTTGATCAGACTTGCTAGCCATCCCTCATAAAGAATTTAAATTTCCTAAACTTGGGTTTGCTTAACTGTGATGCAAAAAACTCTGTATGTGCAGTAGGCACCTGGGATATTCCATGGAATTTAGGGGACAAGGAGAACCAACAGAATATGAAATACATGTTGTGCCCCAAGGAAAATGTCCCTTATCTCTGATTCAGGGGACTTGTGTCTTCTGCCAGCATCCATGAAACTGGCAGGTTAACTTTTTAGCTTGCAAGAAGGATAAACCTGAAACCATTCACTGTTCTTGATAGTCTCACATGCCCTATACATGCCAGGGTCCCTTGTTTCCTGAAAAATCAAAAATTCTGACAAAGGATGCATATGGGATAGGGAGACCTTCAGTGGGGAGCACAGAAGTGAAGCCTCAAGATCATGGTGGGAGATCCAGTGGTAATGAACAGAGCTATGGCGAAGTGTAAGAAATAGATGAGATTGCCTGTGTTAAGACAATTTTTAAGCAGTCATTAATGTTGAGAATAGGAATGTTAGTTCATTTAGTATTCACATACTATTTTTCACATAAGATACTTTGTGAACATTATTGAACAAATAAATGAATTTATATCCTTCTTGCTTCTAAAAATGGTTTGAAGAGTTTTCAAGTAAAAAAAAATACAGATAATGAATTTATTCAAAGAAGAGTGGGAAAAGGTGATTCAGAACAAGCAGGGAAGAGGGACCTCCCCCCCCTTATCCCCAGGTACAAGAGCAACAATTTTGTTAGGCATTTTTAAACTTAATTCTAAAAGGAGCCTTTAAGATTGCTCTCATTGTCCACATTTTACAGGCAGGGAAACTGCATAGAAGATATGAAGAGCATCTGTGAGTATAAGATACATAGAGTATCTGGCTCCTAACAGCCTTTTCAAGGAAATGGGAGAACCAGGGTTTGAACTCTGGATTATCTGTTTTCAAGGTACTGTGCGTTTCTTTACACGACATCACATCAATAGTGTCAGCCCAAAACTAGACCAAGGACACTTGTACCCACTGAGCTCAGAGCTTTGGCTTGAGTTTTCTGACAGTACACCAAAGAAAGAGAAAGCTGAATGAAACATAATAGCAAGGAGGAAAGCACATCAGTTCATTACTCATCTGACAATAGAAAGGACCGATCAGGAAAGGGAAAAAAAAGGAGAATCTTGGCAAAACAGAGAGAAGAGAAAAAGACCAAAATTTTCGATGCAGTGCAAGATAGGATATATTACTTACTTTTCTGAACCCCTTTAGCTTAGTGACTGCAATAATAATAATTCTTGTTATGTGATAAGTCCAATAAACTATAATGATGTCTTATTAAGTGCACTGTCATACTAGCAGCTTTTGCAGAATTTGCATCAGAAGAAAAGTATCAGATGATATCACAGTGACTTGGCAAAACCAGTATACTATATTAATGTTAGCGACTTAATTGCTGTGATTGTTTCTACACATAGTACCCATAGTTTCTCTGGGGGTTCTCGAAAGCTCTGTTTATAGGTTATATTTAAAGTGTAAGTTAGAGTAGTCTGTGAATGGAGATTTTTTTCCTCTTGTAAAAAAAAAAATCAGTTTCCCTAGGACTATCTGCTAAGTTAGGTCAGTTATTTGGTAAAATCAGTATCTTTCTTATTTTAGACAGGGCAAAGCGTAGATCTAGAAATTTTAAGAAGTGGATCATGGCTTGAAAGGGGGGTGATTTAATGTGATTTGAAAGCAGTTTTAATTTTATGGTACTTTATATCATGTGCATTTGTGTGTGTGTGTTTTAATGATAATCTAATTTTACTGCCCCAGACTTAAAGATCTGTGCTGCCTGGAAAAACTACAGTTTACCCATTAGCATTTAAATGTGTTAAGAATATTTTTGCCTGAATTTCTCCCTAGAAGCCTCCCGTCTTTGTTCTGCACAAACGCACAGTCCCGACGCTGTTCTTAATATCCTGTTTTCATTTGTCAGCGCTGTTGTCCTTTTCATTGCCATGTTCCCATCGTTCCCCTTCTTTCAAGTGGTGCTTTACAATAACAATTCAGAACAAAAGAATCACTCCTCTTTCTGTTGCCTTTAAAAAAAAAAAAAAAAACAAGACTTCATGCCCTAACTGTAGGGCTTCAGCGATCACGGGAAGTATTTAAAGCATGTTCTTCGTAATAGTTAAGCAGGAGTTGTGAATAAGGGTTAAGTTTTCCTTATTTCTTAAGATCACAAAGTAGCTTCAGTGTATTGTGAGCACATGAGGCCTTTGTGTGTGGCTAACTTTGAAGTAGAGGGGAAAAGTGATTTTCTTTGAGAAAAGGAGCTATCATATTTGAGAGAATTTACCAATCTGCTCATACAATAGGAATCAGTCACTCTGTAACATCGTCATTACCTCCATGAGTCACGAGACCAGAGTATTTGTTCTTGCCTTTGAACTTAAGCTTTGCAGTTTTCAGAGAACAATTGTGAAATGTCACATTGGCTATCATCAGCAACTATTTATTGATGCATTTTGCTCCTGGTGGGTAATAATTGGGAAGGGGAGAGTGTGTACTTTCTCTGCCTTCTAGAAGACTATTGTGTATAAATGAAGCAAGGAAAAGTTTCTCCAAGTGGCAGATGTTTCTCCGGGGTACAATGTACTTGTTGCAAAAATCCCACTCGACTGATCTGTCTTTGAGAGAGTAGACCTCTTGTACTCTTTTGCTCACTTCCAGGTAACCCTTTGCAAATAAGAATAGGCTGTTGTTGTTGTTTTTATTAAGTAAATAAAAAATTATCTACAGGTTTCTGGGTTTGCACAATGGAAGGAATGTTTCTGTAATGCAGAAAGGATGCTATAGCTGGCTTTGTGAAGAGTGAATTCTATCAATTTGCAAGTAATTTTGAAAAGGTGCTTTTGCATATGCGTGTGTATCTATATACGCATACATATTATATACAGCTGCAAAAACTAATTCCATTATAGACATATATAGGATTTTATATAGTCATAGAACTAGTTCTACGAATATATATAGAAATGCCTACTGAACTATAAATACACTTGGAAAAGCATTCAGGGAAAGCAGCATTAAGCACTTGTCGTCTGTGAGTGGTTTCACAGGAATTATTAATAACTCCCATTTCTGCCACCACCACACTGTTGGTCTGCTCACTGGGAGGGTCGATTTATACTTCTGCCAGGAGACTAGGTGTGACCAGCTCTCACCTTCTTCCTCCTCTTTCCAGTCTGTGATCACTATATTCAAAGCCAAATTCTTGAATGACACTTGGTACAGCATAGACCTGGACAACATCAGTCATTTTCAATATAATGTAAAATAGGTTCTTTTTGCCTTTAAAATTGAATGCTTTATTTCTTAAACTGTAAAAGACATGAAATGTCTGAGACCCTCCGGTAGTGGGAAATTTCAGATGGAGGTTGTCAGATTATGCTCTTTAGAGGATTATAAAATATTTTATTGTTTACCATTTTCTTTTGAGGGATGGAGTAAATATTTGTTTCTTGATGTTTCAACTTGAGATGTTTAGGTTAATTTTCCACTATGGTGCCAAAATACGGACAGGGTAGGCCTGTCTTATAGAAATTTTGACAATTTTAATGTTACTTTAACAAAAACAATGTTTTAAAATCTCTTGATAAAAAAAAGTTGTTTAGAATTCTGTTTGATGATATATGTGTGTCTGTTCCATGGACAATGGGAGCTTCTTAAAAAAAGTCATTTATATGTGAAATTCAGTAATCCCATTGTTTATTGTTAAAAGACAAATCAAGTTATAATCTGGAGCGACATAAGCCAAGAAAATCTATGTTTGTATTTTAATGTCCTAACATATGCAGCACAGTTTGGTTTACTGTGAAGTTTTGCAATGGCAGGAAGGTAGGTGTTGTAACATGCAAACTAGGCAACCTGAAGAAGCAGTTCTTGCCTCTTGCTTCCCCTTTATCACAAATGTTCCTTAAACACCTTTGGTGGAGTCCAAAAGTCTGGAGTATACATTGAATTGTGCAGGACTTCTTAAAAAACATTTTCCTGATGATTTACTTTAGTTGCAATTTCTTGTCTTACATAGTGATAAGCAACATCCTTCGAAGAACTGCAATGCAGGACAATTTTTTTTTTTCTTTTTTCTTTTGGGAAACTACTTCCTCTTCCTCTTTTAGTCAATCAAATTTTAAAAGATTACTTTCCATTCTAAATTCACCCTTTCTTTGCCATTCCAGAGACTGAAATTTGGAACACTCATCACAGATTTGCTGTTATATATATCGTATATTTGTGAAATATTAGATGTGTATATACACATATAATATGTATATATGTGTGTGCATAATATATGCACATATGTGTATGTATGTAAAACTTGTATATTTGTGTGTATATACATATGCATACATTTCATATGCACATATATTATCAGTTGTTTATGGGCATACTGGATTGCAATTTAGATCTCTATTTTTAGAAGAAAAAAAACTCTCTGTTTTATTATGTCTGTACAGGAGATGGTTCTTCCTGATGTAACTTTTTTTTTAAAAAAAACTTCTTCCAGACGTTATGCTTTAATCCAGAAGATAAAGACACAAAATAGTGTGTATGTTATTTTTAAAAATGAGCAAACCAGCATCCAGAGCATAATGTGCTAATGTGCTCTGTAGAAAGCCAAAAGGCCAAATGCAAGGGAAGCTAGTGCCAGTTCCCTACCTCAGGAGCTGGGCAGGACGGCTCCCGTTGGCAGCATGGAAAGCTGGCATCCAGCCTTCGGCTGCAGGACACCGTCCCAGTCGGCTGAGCCGCTACTGGTTCCTGTGAGCAATGAGAGTTCAGATCCTGGTGCCAAGTCATCATTTTTTTGGACCAGGCAGTGGGTGTTGACCTGACCTGAGCTACCTTTTCGTTTGGTTTTAGTTGAACTTTGAGTAGGCCAGGGGCTAGGGAAGTCACGGCGGGGGCCGTGGAAAAGGCAGCTGATTCTTCAACTCGGGCAACCCTGGCGAAGTGGATGAGGTGGAGCTGGCCTTCCTGGAATTGTTGGGCCGATTTTCCTGTTGTGTTTCACTGTCGACGCTCTCACAGACACACAGGACCGCTCCAGCACTGCCTGCCACCCACCATCTGGTCTCGGTGGCCTGTCTGTCATTTCGTGGGTCCCCATCCTCTGCCTACGGCGATGTTTCTTCAAAAAGAACTAGTGTGCAGTCCATTGGTGGGTATTCACGGTGATCTATTTGTCAGAATCTAGAGAGGTGTTAAGAGAACTATTAAGGATCTATATACTAGTTCCTGTTTTTAACCTGTTTATCAGTCTTTTGATGAAACGAATTGCATTTCTGAGACTGTTGAGGGGGTTTCTTCACTATTAAGACAGCGGGAGAGGGAGGTTGTTCCTCAAGGAATCGGGATCGCTCTTTTGCATTGCCATTTGTCTTCGTGCTTGTCTGCTTGTATAAATGAACCTCAAGAAGGAGTGTTTAAGCATTCTGTTAAGTAAATTTGGAAGACTAGGTTTCAATTAAAATAACCAGATGGTGTGACCCAGCTTCCATTTCCCCTTAATTTTGATCATTAAAGCCTTCATATCCCCACAGACATCTGCCATGCTTCGAAGTGATTCTTTTCAGAAATGTTCATTCATTATTAATCAGGTTGCATGGTCAGGCGAGTATGTGATTATTTTAAAGAATGTCCTAGAGATCCAATTACTAAAAATGAGCATGTCATAGGCAGATGTGAAAGTACAGAAAAGGTTTGGTTAACAGTTTAATTTGATTTGCATGAATCCCACCAGGTGGGTGTTTGGTGAAATTAAAAGTCTTCCCTAGTTCTCACTTCAGGTATCAGGTAAAGTATTTTAATTTCAGCACTCCTTAGAATAAAAAAGAAACTCCAAGTTGTTCAAAATATTTATTGTATTAGTTAATTATTTAAAAACTCAAGGCTAGCATCTCAGTGCTTATCTGCATGTCATTTTTTTTTTCCAATCAGTTCCTCTGGTACCCTACAATTTGGTTGCCAGAAATTCTTAGTTCTATTGCCGATTAAACAAATGAATTTGAGTGTGCTAACAGTCAGAGGCTAACCACAGTGATAGTTCAGAGTAACATCTGTTACCTATAGAATATTACTGGATCACCTTTTTTTCCCTATTCTTACTCTATGTATTATTTATACTGTTGCTTTAAGAACCAGTCTGCATTTGTAGTGCTCTCTGCCATAAGTTGGAGTGAAAAATAGCCTATATTATGGTATCAATTTCCAGTCTTTCAGAATATGGTTAAACTCAGTTGGATTTCCTTCTCCTCTTTTTCCATCATTTCATGGACCTGTTTTATTATGCCTTTATTGACTCACCTGTCTCAAATCAGCCAGGGTACTAATCAGTAAAGTAGCATTTGGGTAGTTTCGGTGTTTTTTACAACTCAAAGTTAAATATTAAGCTACATGATTGAATATGCAGATGCCAAGTGCTTGTATTATGTTATTCAAATTATCTGTAGTGAATTCATCTTGAATGTAGTAGCCAGTTTTTATTGAGTTTGTGGTAGATAATTTTCTGAGTTGAGAAATTATGCTCATTTGAGATGAGATCAAGTCTCTGAGTTCAGTCCCTGTTGCAGTCTCTGCCTCACAAACTCAGGTTGATTTCCAGTGTTTCACAGTTTTTAGTAGTTTTCAGTCCTCTGAAAGTCTGTATTTCTGCTGATCCAAGATAGAAATATCATACTACAGTCTTTAAAAAATATTCCACCTATAGTTCTGCAATGGGGGCAATCTCATAGCAAAAATCCAAATGGCAATAAGTCAACTAAACCTTAATTACCCAGGTGTACAGAGGATGGGAGGTGTGGGCAGCCAAGTAAATTGACTTGATTGTGTTTCTGAAATTTAGGACTCTCAAAGAGTTCAATTTATTCATACCATTTTTGATGCTGTTTATTGTTTGCAACACTTTTAAGAGCTTCCTTTTCTGAAACCATTTTTATGTGGCTTGGTGTAACACTGTGTAGTTTTTGACAGTGTGTTTGTCATTTTGGTTACGTTTTGGTAAATTTAACAATAAGCTTAGTTTCTATAGTTCAGAGGATATTTGGAAAAGAACCAGAGGAAGTGCCTTGGGAATCATCCGGGCAGTGGCTGGGAGCCACCTGGTATTAACAATTGATCACAGGCCACCCAGTGTTGGTATCCAAGTTTATTCCTCGGTCTAGTGACTCACTAATTTCCTTAATAGTGAAGGCTTTCAGAGCTGTACAAAGCAAGGGGCTGAAAGTAAAATTATTGATAGATACAATGCATGCTCTTTTTCATATACTCTAAGTTAGAAAAATGATTATTTTTCTTCAAGTATGCAGATATGACACAATACATGTAGGAAAGCAATGAGAGGTGGGTTTACCTTATGATTAAAATGTCAATGCCTCTATTAAGAGAAATTCGAAATAAAAAAAATCATGGATGATGTGCTAATGATGGAATATCTCCTTATTCTAATGGGTCATTGAACTCACAAGTGCATTTAGTCTGGAGAATCCTAATTCTTGGTCAGTTCTTGAATATATATGTGAAACTTCCATATCCTTGGCATTCTGAACCAGAAAGCCTACCCATTGAATTTGGCCATGGATTAAACCTGGCAATGCATGCTATCTTCACAGGGATCCTAGGTATTTCTTCCAGGTACAGGTTATCTTGATTGTGTCATAGCAGAGGAGGTCGGGAGAGACTGCAAAGAATAAACTTGTGAAATTCTAAAATGAGCTACCAAGCAGGATGGTGGCAAGGGTTGTGACAATACAGGTTGGGAGTTAAATGCTTTGTCTCTGTTGACTTGCCCTCTTACCTCAAAGGAGGAGGCAGAAAAGATGAATGTAACAGACACGAACCCCTTTCACTTCCATGCCCTTGGACTGTAACAATAATCCTCTTCCTCAGATGAGTGCTACCTCAGGATGAAGATATCTGGAGCCCAGAGGGTGTGAGGGGCCATCTGCCCAGGCTACTGAATCAGTCAGGTCACCGTAGCCATCACCTGGGTGCCAAGGTCTGATCATTCTTACAGCCCTCATTGCCAGCTCTCCATCCCTCTGTTGATTAATTTTCCTTAACCCCAAAAGGCACAAGCCTCTTACATCCAGGTTTTATCATGGGGAGTTGTGAGGGAGTTAGTCATTTGGCTTAGACCACACATTCATGATTGGCCTCAAATTTAGACTGTGAATGTCATCTCCCTAGGAGATTTGTGTTTGCATGTTTGCTCAAGCATGCTCATCTCAGCTCCAGAGTGAATTCAACCATATTGAAAGAATAAGATTAATTGTATAACTTTAAACCTGGGTCCTATTACCAACTATTCCATTGTGGACTAAGAAATAACATTTTTAAGTAAATATTTTAGTTATTTTGTGAATAGGATAATTATATTGCTTTGTGTTCAGTTAAAAGGGTTACTTTGCTAAATGTAAACAGTTAAGACATGTCACACTATGTAGAGCAATCCTTTTAGACAATTCCTCTTTGTTTAATATGAAGTCACCAAATCCAACAGTGGCCGGGGTTCTTTGGGCTTCTGGGAGGTTCTACTCTCATCTTAAAAAGCAAGAAAATAGAAACAAAACAAACATGAAACCACAAAAACTCACATAGGAAAAATGGTTTGTGCTAAGAAGAAAAGCAAAAGCAATTGCTAAAAGCAGCAAATGATCCCATTTACCGGGGCCCTAGTATAGGAGATGAATGAGTGAGAATAAGGTTGAGGGGATAGTTTGGCAGAAACTGGGGCAAGGATTTGTAAAGGAGATAAAGTGTCAAGACTCATACAGCAGGGAGCTGCCCAATGATTTGTGCCATTGAGAGGAGTTACAGAAAAATGTGGTGGGGCCAGAAACACATTACAAAGATTCATCTGAAGGAGGAAAGACTGGAGGTGAGAAATCAAATTAGGAGGAGTTTGGGTAATGATCTAGGAATGCAACAGAGAGGGTCTGGGTCAACACAGAGGCAGTGGGAACAGAGGGAAGGAAACCAATACAAAGAGATACTAAGGATTGATACACATATGTCTTGGCTGGTGTTTTAGATTTGGAGGATGGAGGATTTATCAATTCCCTATTGATGCTGTAACAAGTTACCACAAACTTAATGGCCTTAAGCAACACAAATTCATTATCTTACAGACCTAGAGGTCAGATGTCTGACACAGGTCTCGCTGGACTAAAAGCAAGGTATCTGCAGGCCAGCTTGCCTTCCTAGAGGCTCTCTTCCTCTTCCTTTTACTTGCCTTTTCTAGCTTCTAGAGGCTGCTGCATTCCTCGGCTTGTGGCCTTTCCCTCCATCTTCAAGTCTTTCTCACATCTCATCTTTCTGACTCTGACTCTTCTGCCTCTGCCTCCCACTTCCACATTTAAGGAGCCTTGTGATTCCATTGGGTCGACCTGGATGATCCAGGCTAATCTCCCCATCTCAAGGTTAGCTGCTTAGCAACCTCAACTATATCAGCAACATTCACTCCTCTTTGCCCTGTAACCTAAAATATTCACAGGTTCTGAGGAGTGGGATATGGACATCTTTGGGGGCCATTATTCTGCCTCCCCCAAAAGAAGGAGGAGTGAGTAGAAACTCTAATGAGCATCTGCCTTCTGGTGATCAAGAGGGTGGAAACTCTATGAGGAGATGCCAGGAGCCCTGTAGAGGAGATAAAGACTGGCTTGGGAGGCAAGGGGATACATCCCTGTGATGTGCATTATGAGTCTTACACACTTGCAATACATGAAGCAAAGAACTATAAATGCTAAACCGGGATTCCAGAAAGTGATGGCACCTGGAGATAGGCGAGCCTAGGAGTCATTCTCAGAGAGGCAGCACATGAAACAAAAGAACACACTGGATGGCTTTTTCAAAAGAAGGGTAGGCTATTAGAAAATACTTAGACTTTGATTAACAAGAGGAAGAAGTTAGCAGTGGTTAGAGAGAGGAAAACTGGAAAAGTACAATTTCATTGAGACATAGTGTTATGGTTTGAATAAGGTTGGATTTTTTTCTCATCACATCTCATGCTGAAATTTGATCCCCAGTGTGGCGGTGCTGGGAGGTGGGGCCTAATGGGAGGTGTTTGGGTCCTGGGGGTGGATCGTTCATGAATGTCTGGGTGTGGTTCTCAGGGCAGTGAGTTCTCGGGGTATTGAGTTCTTGCTCTCACAAGACTGGATT